TGTCCCCCTCCCCCTCTCTCTCTCTCTCCCGCTTCCCTTTGCGTGACTTCGGAATTCCTGTCCATTCACCAATCTCATTCTATGTGCCCATGCAACTGAATGCATGCTATTTGATTGGTGAGCAGCGAGAGAACTCTCGCAAGGCCAGAATTCTGCCATAGGGCCGTAGGCTAAAAGATTACTTATTGCAGGCTCGCTCTAGTTGTGCCACTCCTTTTTCATATCAGCGTGCGGATATGTTCTCCACCTGGTATGGAACTGATTGTGTGGGTTGGGGCATGTATGTGTGTTCCTGTCTGGTTCTCAGATTGCAGCAAGGTACACCAGTAAGAGGAGGAAGGCCTATGAAGATGCACTGATCCTAGAATCATTTGCAGTGGAGGAGGAGGAGGATGTCCTGGACGGATCCCCTGACAAGATCGGCCTTCCTCTCTATGTTGGTCAACCCCCACGGATTCTCAGTCGGGGAACCACACCAGACTTACAGAGGTGAGTGGTTTTGAGGATGGATAATCTTTGTTTCTTGCCGGTGCAGGTAGGCTGACTGCTTCACCTGTTATCGTAAGGGAAAAAACTTCAAAAAAGGAAGAGGGGCGGAGAAGCCCAGCCTTATGACCATGGCTTTTGTGAACTTGGACTTCGGTATGTGGCCCCTCAAGTGAACTTATACTTCAGTTCTCTCTGCAAAGATGACCAACAGGGCAGAGAGACGATCTGATCCCTTGACTGGTCTTCCGTCTTGCCAAATCTCATCTAGTTCGAGTTCAATGGATCACAGCGTTCTCACGTGGAGATCACAGGGGGCCATGCCGGGGTTGTCATTTGAGGCCCGCACCCCCATGTGGGGACCCCCGGTCCCCCAGGGGCGCCAGGACAGCCGGGGGTGGAAATGTTGATCTCCTTTTATTTGGTTTTCCTGCAGGCCCCACGAGAAGTGTGGGGAACCACTTTTTTGTTTTGGAAACTCTGATTCCGCGGGGCCAAAAAAAAAATCGGAATCACCTGGCCCTGCGGACCCCCGGTTCCTGGTCGCACCCATCCCACGCAGCCAACCCTGACCCTGGCCCGCGATCCCCTGCACCCCCGGTCAACGAGGACCCCCTTCCCCACACGCTCCCAGCCCCCCCCCCGGGGGCCCCACTCCCCCGACCTCCAGCCCC